CAGTCGTTTTGCCGAACTTGCTTTCAGAAAGTGAATGCAAAAGCTGAAACGCTCAGTGTGCAGGACACGGCAAGGCAGAATTGGCTTTTCCATCCGCTCGCAATTCCTCCTTCCCTGGGCTTTGCTTGTGCTGTCTAAAACACAAGCAATCGATATATTAAAATATTACCGGGGAGGGATACAAAAAAGCACCAAATAGAAGCAAAACTAAAAAGCGGCGATAGAAGCGACTGCTTCTTTGGGGGAAAATAAATATATATATTTTATATACATGCATATAAAACATAGTAATGTCCTGGGATTATTTCCAGCATCGCTCCTCAGCTGTTTCTGCAGGGCTGTGTTTGGAAGGGCCGATGCAAAACGCACGGGGAAGGTTGTGGGAGCTGGAGGGGATGTGAGCACCACAGGTCATCCTGCTGCAACAGGGTGGCCACAAGGCGAATATTCAGGAATATTTGGGCATCTTTAGGAATATTTATGCCTGTTTTTTTTAATTGCACCTGCTGGTACTCTGCAAGCTGGAGTTGAAGCGGGCCAGGGTGTTTTTAGCAGTTGCAAGAAGGTGTTGGGAAGGGGAAGCCAGGAAGCTCCTGCTCTCACCGCTTTGGCTTCATCGGGAGGGTCATGGACTCGTGCAGATTGGGACAATCATTGTGGCAAAGTCTGGAGCCCCCGGGCTGGAGCTGACGGTGTCCAGCTGGGCCCTGGCCCCTCGTTTCCAGCTCTGCTGCTGACCTTGGAAGGGGAATTTTCCCCTCTGGGTTTAATGTTTTTTTCTCCAGAGGGGAATTTTGCAAAAAGAAAAAAAAAAAAAACAATTCCCTAGATTTTTTTGGGAGGCTTTCCCTGTTATTTCTGAATTTCCACCAAAGGGAAAGAGCGGCAGGTTCTCAGGCACTGGCGCAGCAGTGACTTCTCTCTGCCGCATCCGCTTGGACGGGCCGCCTGGCCAGCCCAGCAGCCGGAGCCGGTCCTGCTGCGGCACCGGGGCTGGAGCTCGGGCCCTGCGACACGGGACGTTGTGGAAGAAAGCGCTGGGTGGCGGGGAAAAATCCCTGTGGGGACCAATCCATGGGGAATGAGGAATTTCCAGGAGGAATTAAGGGGGAAAGGGGAGAAAGGTTCCACAGAGGCAGCTCCCTGGAGGCAGGAGATTTGTTGCAAGGGGCAAGCGTTCCCGGGCGGATGAGCCGTGGCAGAGGGTGAATTATTCCAAGGGAGCAAAACAGGGAGAGAGCGCATCCATGGGGTCGTGTCACACAGTCCAGGGGGGACATTTCTGGCGGCCTTGCCCTGCGCTAGTGACATGCAGAATGTCCCTGACACCGGCCTCCCACCTCCAGCTCGGGCTGCACTCAGTGCCCGGAGATTTGGGGAGGGAATTATGGAAAAATGTCCAAGGCCGCGGAGGGGAAGCGCTTTCCCCCGAGCCCGGCGCGGTCCCTGCTGCGCCGCGACTCCGCGCTGCCCGTCGGGCCGGGCCGGGCCGGGCCGGGTCGGGCAGGGCCGGGCCGGGCCGGGCCGGGCTCGGTGCCGCCGCCGCCACCTGCGCCCGCCGCCCGCGCTGCCACCGGCCGCCACCGGGTGGCGCGACAGGGCAAAGAGTGAGCGGCTCCGGACCGGGATGCGCCGGGGAGAGGAGGTCCTGCACCGGGATGCACTCGGGAGCGGGGGGTCCTGCACCGGGATGCACCTGGGAAAGGGGGGGGTCCTGCACCGGGATATAACCGGGAATAGGCATCTTGCACCTGGATGTAACGGTGAACACCGGGATGAGCCGAAATGCACCGGGGAGCGGGTCTTGCACCGGGATGTAGCGGGGAGGGGGCTCCTGCAGCGGGACGAGGGAGGGGAGGCTGTTGCGGGGGAGGCTCCTGCAGCCGGGATGGGCTCCCGCAGAGGGCTGAGGGAGGTCCCTGCACCGGGATGCACCGGGGAGCGGGGCGGGCCGGTTCCGCTGCCGGCTGCACCTAGACGCGCCGGTGAAGGGGCCGGCGGGAGATGGGGGCACACAGCGATGCACGGCGCGGGGGGGCTCCCTGCAGCGGGATGCACCGGGCCGGGGGGGCAGGAGCGGCGGGGCCGGCGCGGGCCGAGCCCCGCCGGGCACCAGACTCAAACCAGCTGGGGAGGCTGCGGGGGGCGCCGGGGAGGGGGGAACTCAATGAACTTTTGTTTTTCCTGTAATCTGAAGCAAATGCTTCGCCAAAGTGCCTGTAACCAGGCGGCCCGGATACCTGCCCTCGCCGCCGTCGCTGCTGCGTGTGTGTGCAGGGGGGCAGGTTTTAGTTTTTATGGGTTTTGGGGGGGGTTATTGCAGCCTCCTGTGCTAGGTGAAATGGGGAAAAGTGTGGAGGGGGGATATCACAAACTCGAAATCACTGGGAGGTGAAAGCACCGCCGAGCATAAATCATTGCAAGGGCTGGATCAGCGAGAGAGGAATTGTGCCGTGCAGATCATTGCGAGGGGGCAAAACACGGAGAGTGGGAAATCTTGGACAGGGCAACCTGTGCAAGTGGCCACATCACTGCGGGGGACAGGTTGCTGCCAGGGTGCAAAGTGCCGTGGAGGGAACCACGGCAGGGGGGCAGAGCCTTGCAGGGGGCAGCTAATTGGAGCAGAGTGGATCATTGCAAGGGGGCAAATCTCACAGGGGACCAAATCATTGCAAGGAGGGGATTCCTGCAAAGAGGAAGCCRAGGCAAAGCACTGGAGGGGGCAAGTTATTGCAGGGAGGTGGAGGCTGGGGGGACACTTGTCCAGAGTGAATAATTGCATGGGGATTGGAGGAGAAATATTGCCTGGGGCAAAGTATTGCGGGCGGTAAATCACTGCAAGGGGCGAATCATTGAGGGATAGGTCTGGCCCCATCCAGGGGAAGGAATATTTGGAAGGTGGAGGAATATCATTGCAAGAGGCAAATCTTTACAGGGGAGTAAATAATTGTGTGTGTGTGTGGGGGAAATGATTCAATAGGTGAATCATCGGGGGGCAGTAATTGGGGATAAATCATTGTGAGGGGCTCAGTCATGGGGGTAAATCATTACAGGGGGCAAATCATTGTAAGGGGAATGTATATGGTTGCAGGGGCACAAATCATTGTGGGGAGGGGGCAAATCATTGGGTGTGTGTGTGGGGGGTGATCTCAAGAGGGTGAATCATTGCAGGGAGACGAATCATGGGGGGGATCATTGCAAGGCCAAAGGGGGAAATTAAGTGCGTGGGGGGGCACCAGGACAACACAAATCACTGCAGGGAGGCAAATGATAGTGGGGGAAATCATTACAGGGAGGCAAACTATGGAGGGGGGGGGGGAATTATGGAGCGGGACAAATCACTGCAGGGGGTCACCCCTAGGACGGTGTTATGTGGGAGGGAATTCATTACAGGGAGGCAAATTGGGGGGTGTGGGGGGCAAATCATTGCAGGAGGACAACCAGTGCACAGGGGATCATTGCAGGGAGGCAAACCACGGGAGAGGACTGGGGGGGGGGGAATCATTGCAGGGAGGCAACCAAAGTGGGCGAGGGAGTTGGGGGGGCAGGTTGATCATTGCAAAGGGGCAAACCATGAGGGGGAGCGAATTATGTGCGGGGGGGACAGATCAGTGCAGGGTGGCAAATCGCGTGTGCGGGGAGGAGGGGGGAACAAATCATTGCGGGGGCAACCAAGGGGGTGAAGCCCGTTCTGGAGCGGGGGGTCCGCCGGCGCTGAGCGCTGCTCGTCTCTCCGCAGGCCGTAGGTGCGGAAGGCGGCAGGAGGAGAAGCGAGAGGAGGAGGAGGAGAAGCAGCAGCAGCAGCAGGAGGAGGAGGCGGAGGCGGGCGCAGTGGTGAGGGTGGCTGTGGGGAGCGCGAGGCAGT